CCCAGGGTTTTGGCTGGGCCAACAAGCACGGTACTGGCAAGGGTGCCGACACCATCACCAGTGGTCTGGAGGTCACCTGGACTGCAACTCCCACCAAGTGGAGCAACAAGTACTTCGAGTACCTGTTTAAGTTCGACTGGGAGCTTACCAAGAGTCCCGCTGGTGCCAATCAGTGGGTGGCCAAGAACGCCGAGCCCATTATTCCCCATGCCTTCGATTCCAGCAAGAAGCAGCTTCCCACTATGTTGACGACCGACTTGTCGCTCCGCTTTGACCCCGAGTACGAGAAGATTTCGAGACGTTTCCTCGAGAACCCGGATCAATTCGCCGATGCATTCGCCAAGGCTTGGTTCAAGCTCACTCACCGTGACATGGGCCCGCGCTCCCGCTATGTCGGACCTGAGGTTCCCTCTGAGGACTTCATCTGGCAGGACCCTATTCCCGCTCCTAGCTCGCCCCTCGTCGGCGAGCAGGACGTTGTAGCTCTCAAGAAGGAGGTCCTCGCCACTGGCATCGATGCATCTAAGCTCATCTCCACTGCCTGGGCTTCAGCCTCTACCTTCCGTGGAAGTGACAAGCGCGGTGGTGCCAACGGTGCCCGTATTCGCCTGGCACCTCAGAAGGACTGGGAGGTCAACAACCCCAAGCAGCTCGCCGAAGTCCTCAAGGCCCTTGAGGGTGTGCAGCAGAAGTTCAACGGTTCGGGCAAGAAGATCTCGCTAGCTGACCTTATCGTCCTCGCCGGTGCTGCTGGTGTCGAGAAGGCAGCCAAGAATGCGGGCGTCGATATCAACGTGCCCTTCACACCTGGTCGTGGCGATGCCACCCAGGAGCAGACCGATGTTGAGTCTGTCGACTACCTTCAGCCCTATGCTGATGGCTTCCGCAACTACGGCAAGTCAGGCAACCGTGCGAAGACCGAGCACTACCTTGTTGACAAGGCACACCTCCTTACGCTTACCGCACCTGAGCTCACCGTTCTCGTTGGTGGCCTGCGTGTGTTGAACACGAACTTTGATGGCTCATCAACTGGTGTCTTCACCAATCGCCCTGGTGCCTTGACCAACGACTTCTTCGTCAACTTACTCGACATGGGCAACGAGTGGAAGGCCACCAACAACCAGGATGTCTACGAGGGCTTCGACCGCAAGTCAGGCTCCAAGAAGTACACCGCCAGCCGTGTCGACCTTGTCTTTGGCTCCCACGCTGAGCTCCGCGCTGTTGCGGAGATTTACGCCCAGGCTGATGCCGGACAGAAGTTCGTCAAGGACTTCGTGACTGTTTGGGACAAGGTCATGAACCTGGACCGCTTTGATCTCAAGAAGCAGTCCGGTAGCGTGCCGAGCCGCCTTTAGATGACTAGAATGAAATCACTGAAAAAGCAATGTCGATTACGAGGAAATGAGACCGTCTCTAGCCTTCGTGCTTTGAGATAGCCTAGTGTAGTCTAGTACCTGCAGATAGGAACATGTATTTACGTTTGACGATCACCAACTTCCTTTTCCACGCCCATATTTACAGTGATGATCGAGCCGTATTGTGCATCGCATACAATGTGGTTGACCGCTAAGAAAATCGATGACTCCTTGATGGACAAATTAGTATACTGTGCTCTCGTACCACACGAGGCGTTCCAAGTCCAGTACGTATTCCATGCTTCTTACTCTACCAGAGATTAAATTCGGAAGTTTAGAAGGCCGTTTTTCACACTTTTACCACCTCGATGGCTCTTGAGCTCTCAAATTGCGCCTGTTACACCATACTTTCACGTGACGCCCCAGCTGACCATCTTGAGCGCTTTCCCACTTATCCAGGTAACGGAATAAGTATGGATAGTTGGTACGAAACTGTGAACTCTTCTGGATCTTCGCACCGCCCATCTATTCCTTTGGAGACTCCCTTCCTTTTTGGATCAACAAAACACTCTACAAGAAAAACTTGAAGGTTAAAAACCGCGTCCATGGAGTCCGCTCTCCACTGTACAGCAAAATGGAAATCAGCCGCGTCATCTTGTAAGTCGGTGTGCTCCGAGCCGACATACTCAGAGCCAGAGTCGACATCCTCGGAGGCCATTTCAATGGCTCTTTTTTACTCTCATGTACCACCAGGGCAACCTGATAGAATGACTACCTTTCAATGCAGAATCTACGACGTCGAATGAGGTATGTCGAACCTATAGTATGAACCTACTATCGTCAACCTGTTTGGGTGACGGAAAAAGTGAATGGAAGTTCTTCTAACGACCAGCACCTCAAGCCAAGCGAATCTTCAAAGCCAAGACTGTCAAGATATACCACATGAGCGATCACATCAGACAATTCATCAATTCAAGTGGATCTGGCGTCTGTCGATATGTGAGATCGATTCCAAACCCGTGCGCACGGTTGGTCTTTACGAGCTCTTTGCTCTTCCTCAATTAAGGTTTGGAGAGACAAGTTCACAAAGTCCTCCTGACGAATTACAGCTGGTATAGGTAAGTCTACGCAAATTTTCGTCTGAATAACAAGATTGAGGCTCCCAGTGCAAGATACCACCACAGGTGTGTTCCACTCATGCAGTTCTAATCTTTGCTGTGGTAGATTGGAAGACCCAAGAAAATGTCTACAGTGTTTCAGGCATAGAGCCGTTTTGCTCTTCGCAGCTACATTTGTTTCCGAATATCAGGCTATAAAACTTTGCGCTTGTCTGTTGCCAAAGCGCATAGTCTCACTCAACTTCTCCTAACACCATCTTGAACAAGAGGCTTCATCGTCGAAAAGGCATATCTCGCAATCTTCCACTCCCCATCTTCCTTCTTCATGATGAAAAGCTCCTGGTTCGCGTGCTCCTCCGAAGCCTGCGTCGCCAACATCGTCTTAGTTCCCTCGGCCGTTGTCCTCGCGAACGCCCAGTCCGGAGACATGACGACAATCTCTTCTATTGAAAACGTGATGACGAGCTGAACCGATGAGAAGATGCGCGTGTAGGATTCGCGAAGTGACGCCGTGCCTACGGCAGCTGTGAAGTGAGGCGGCATGATGACGCCGTTGGACGTGTAGAGATTGACGACATCCTCGACGTTGCGGCTCTTGAGAGCTGCCCCGTACGCGTGGAGAACTGAAGTGATGGCTTCGGCTTCAGGGAAAGACACTTCGTGGGGTGTTAGAATAGGCTTGAAGTAGTAAAGACAGCTTATTTGATCACCTACTAATTCCGAGTAAATTGTGAGTGATTAACAGAATGTCCTCAATATTCAATATGTTTTACTGGTTTCTTTTGTATTGAGCCTTTGTAATGAAAATCATGCCACTTATATATCGTTTCTGAAGTGTAAGTGGAGGAGCTTATCTCGGTCGTAAGTGGGATTCTGATGGCAAGAGTGGGGGTGGACCACGATATGCCATTTCGCGACGTGAAGATATCATCCTTCATTCCGGCTACACTAAACAACGTTTGTGTTACCAAAATATTTGACTCATCGATCATCTAACCTCTGAGATGTGGGTATCGGCAGACTTTGCAACCTGCTCGGGCTGCAAGTTTTAGCCGTTTATGGGTTTGAACGGCGAGATACATCACATTCTCAACTTACCAATTTAAACGTTGCGTAGAACGATAGGCCTTTGAGGATCATAAAGTGAGTCCGTAGTAGTTGCAAAACGAGAAATGGAACCCCTGATCGTAGTCTGAATATACCTAGGACAAGAAGCAGCCAAGATATTCTTCTAGTCTAACGGTAACATGATGGTGGTAGGAGTCTGTTTAATATCCAATTCAGCCCCTGATTCCCCAGGCGTCGTAGACTACTTCAAGCTAACAATTCTGAATCTGAATCAAGGTCAAAATGACGAGATAGCACGAGATGACTGATATCCCTGACAGCATCCTGGAAGATCTCTCTATCGTCTCTGACTTTCCCTTATGTTACCCTTTTAAAAATTTCGACAGTAGAGCTTGAATATCTTTGAACGAGCGTCTTATTTCTTTGGTCTTTGTCATAGAAGTGAATAAAAAAACTTTGTCCTGACGCTATTAATCCGCGCTCAATGGGATACCCTAGATCTAATCTGCAAGCTCATTGCTTCTTCGGCTGCCCATTATTGTAGTAAACACACGAAGACCTCAACCGCCTTCAAATTAATTTGATGTACCCCAACTCAATGAAGCCTCCCTTCATTCGAGTCTGATGGCTGATTGACTTCCCGCGCTTTGGTGCAAGTGTCTCTGCTTGTCCCCTATGAGACCTTGCCCTACGTGCTCGATGGTATTCATGTAGCTGCCGACAATACGGTATTGTTGTGATTCCCTTAAAATCTGACATTTCACTCTCCAAATCATCCTTGTCGGAAAACTCCAGTCTACGCTCAGAGACTGGGAAAGTAGCTACCGGCCGCGTCAGAGCACCTGTAAGCTGGGTGCTGTCACCAGTGGCTTGTAAGCTCTCTAGTCTTGAGAATAGGTAGGATTGAAGATCTTCCAAGAAAACCGCGATTCTCAGAATGAATCACATTTCTGAAAACGAATTCTCATGACGTGAGCCCCGGCACGGCAGACCCGAAGACCTCCTTGTCCTGGCGGCTGGCCTGAAGTGAAGTGACTGATGCTCGATTCATTGACGCCCGCTTGTAGCTTGTGTTCTAGATAAAATAGACCAGAGAACGAAGGCTATATGAGCAGGTCTAGACCATCGCTTAGCGCAATCACCGACAGGATGGGAGGGAATCATCAATTCCGAGGCTCTGGTCGCCTGGTAGATGTAACGGCTTTGATATTAAATTCTGGGGCTGAGTGGGTGGCACAAGCTCCCCCCGACAAGTGACCGGGGTGTGAAAAGGGCGGGGCGCTCGGGCTCCGCTGAAGAGCGAGACCCTTGACTCCCATGACTCCTCCTCCTTACATTGCCAAGTCTGCTTTTGAAGACTTGAATAAATCCTCGACTGTGTACTGTTTTGTTGTATTAGTCTGTAGATCTGCTGAATTTAAATCTCCCAAGGCGAACCGACTTAACAACCATTCTTTGATTACGGTACCGGCGTCAGCGGGTGGCTTTCTCTGTTCGCTTTGTAGGATCTACTACTAGTAGGGCTGGGCAAACTAGCAGTGCCGCATCTGTAAGGGAGCAAGCCACTCGATACTGGCGATCGGGGAATAATGCTGCGATCGCTCTGTGGCGTCTTTCCCATTCAGACGCTTGAAGACTTGGCCTGCCACACTCCGGGTCCTAGCCTACCGTGCCTACGTCGGCCCCCAGAGCCCCGGAATGGATTTGTGCGACTTCACGCAAGACAATACGGGAGGGCGAGCCAGCGATTGGGCAACACTGCCAGAAGCTGGTATGATGGGCTGGGAACTAAAGTCCACTACTACGGAAGAAACCCTGTCTTTGCCCTGCCAGTCTAGCGAAATGTCCCGCGATCCTTCGAGCCAACATTGATATGATCCAATTGTGCGGTCTTGAATGCAAAGTACGAGCCGAACCAATGCCTACTTGTATGTCACTCGTGCCTCCTCCCACCGGCAAATATAGTTAACCCAGCATCAGGGTCTGGGCCCACACTCTTCAGCCCGATCTGATCTCCTTTTCACGCTTCATACCTACACTAGGAACGGGTAACCAACGAATCCAGAGCGTTTGCACCTGGCTTTTCTATCGTCTACAGCAGCACTCAGCAAGTGCGATGAAACAAGATGGCGGCTGAGCTTTACTTTGAGCAATGCTGGGCTATTCTGAGCACCATCGGCATCTCGAACGTTTTCCTGGGCTTCATCGTCATCAGCATCACGAAATTCTCAAGCATCGCGCTGGTCCCGATCATCACGAGCATGGCCTGTGCCATCGCGAATGGGCTATGTTTCCGAATATTCTACACGGATAGTTCACCATTGGACAGGGCGCTCGCGTCCGCGTTCGCCGATACTTTCTGGCTGGTACAACATCCGCCTGACCCCTGACCGCGAGTTCCATGATTAACACCCAGTCCAGGTCCAAGAAGCCGGCATATCATTCTACTCGTACGCCATGTTGACTCACATGTTGACGGGCCGCAGTCGGACAATTTACCTGACGGCCTTCTGGATTCTGTTTGCCGGCATCACCGGCCTTCGCGGCACGATCTTGATAGCTCGAGTCGTGGGCATTTACGACGAAACCAACAACACTGCCTCGAAGGTTGTCGACTTTGCTCACGTCGGATATTTTGTGCTCCTGGCGCTTCTGGAATGTCTGAGCGCCTTCTACTTACTCCGGAAATTCGCGTCGACGAAGAAGAGGTCGTTGAGGGCTGCGCTGAACATTAGCTTGTGGGGTCACTTGATGCGCAGCACGGAGATACGAGTGTCTTCTCTGGCATTGATCGGGGTGTCGAGGTCCATCACCTACACTTTCCACCCGTCGCTACTGAACACGCCTACCACGACTCCCAGACAGATCGACCGATTTGTGTACACCTTGGAATGCATCTTTCCTGTCATTCTTTAGTGAGTCTTCCTATCGTTTCGCAAATGGGGTCTATTTCATTGGCTTACCTTTACATGGCAGTTTCGATCTGTTAGCTTGCAAAATCCAGTCCGAGAGTCATGGAGCAATAAACAGCCATAACATACGGCACGTGGAAACACCAAACATCTTGAGAGATTCTGTTACTGGCGAGCTCAGCAGTACAATCTCGCCGTCGTCAGAAAAGCCTCTTGAGAGTTGTAGAGAAAGTAGAAGATAGGGTTAACGTTCGAAGCTATGTGGCTTGAGAAGTTTGACTGAAAATTTGTTACTGGACTGCTGCAGGTGATAACCGCACCTTGCATGAGTTGCATTCGTGGTCTTACTTATTCTGGCAGGCTCCTAGCCGTATCTCAAATCACACCTTGCTGGACTGCATGTTCCCCGGGCACAGTTCCCGAAGCCACCTCTGGTTGACGTAGTCTAGCTAAGACAGCGTAACTTGAGTGGGCCTATTGCCGAACCCCTCTTGCAAAACCCCTGCATAGGTGCGGTGAGTTGATGAACTATCATACTCTGCATCATAGTTACGATATGTCCCCACTCAAAGTTCCATTACAATCGGCATATATACCAGGTATTTGACGCAAGGAGGCCCCCCATTTCTCGATCGGTGACCGAGCCTCACGGGTAAGTCAACATACCCACTTCCTGGCACCCCCCTGTTTCTGGCACCACAAAAACGATGGGATCACAACCCAACCTCCTCATTACTATTAACTATTGATCCTCAACCACACCCACTACAATACAGCTGCCAGCCTCACTAGGGCATTCAGAGTCGCTGGATTCAGCCGTGATAACCTCCTTTTCACCCGCTTCGATTTGAGCCCGATGGATATCCCTGATGTTCGCGAACTTCGTATTGGGATCG